CCTTAAAAAAAAATTTGCATCTATTAATCAGTTCCTATCCATCAGTGCCCTCTGGTAAGTACATAAAGGAGCCAAATATAGGGTAATACTCAAAGTTCAGGTGTTTCTCACAGAGGTGCTTGGCTTGATTGTACTTTTTGAGGACATTAAGCCTCGTATTTGCTCTTAGAATTGGGCACCAGGTTGACTCAGAGGATCCCCTCTCTTCAAGGAACTACAAACAGCTTTGAGAGCAACACTGTGAAATGAGGTAAAACAGTGCACCTCTAGGAAAGGATAAGCAGTGGCTAAGCTGTTCATACAAACACTGGATGAGATTAAAGATGAAAGGAAATATTTAGTCACCTTTTGGGAACAGCTGGTGTGAAAATATTTAACAGTCAGGTCTTTTATGTGCAGGCAGAGTGTTCTAACTAAGCTTAAATAGGCAGGAGCAATATAGTGCAGCTGGCCAGTATGAGAATACTGTAATAGGAGAATTAAAAGCTTTCCTTCTCATTTGTTCATGCAGCTCAGATGGTAGCTAATCATGTCCTCTAATTTTAACAACAGAATTGGGAAATGTACCAAAAAATGCAGTTTGTAATAACAACAGAGGTGACAAATTCTGTCCCTGGGACTGAACGACAAAGAAACTATTCACCTGCCCTTTTTTGTAAAACAGCCTTAGGTGTCTTTTTCTGTCCAAAAAGACATGTATTTAAGTGGAAGCTTAATATGAAATCCGTTTTGATCATTTCTTAGCATGCCACAAGAAAAGTAAAAGCTATTCTGACTATTTAATCACTCATTAGAAACCTGTGAGCATTTAAGAGGGCTGTGTTTTAAAGGTCCAGGGCATGTAGCAGGTTGTGTGTTGTAAAGCTGTTTAAATTGTAGGATACCCATCTATCTTTAAACTGGCACTAAGTGGAAGATTTAGTTTTGAGAGTTCCTGACTCCTGGTTCCCTGTCAGAAGTAATTAAACTACATTTTAGGGAGACTGTCCTAAGTAGTTTGTTTCATAAGTGTTTTTCACAGCTGAGAGTCTATATTACAGCCCTTGGGGCCTGGGAGTCCAAACCACCTCATATATCCAATATATATGAATTACACATTCATTGCCTGGAACCTGCACACTTCTGTGTGCATGGGTGGTGGTTTGGCTGGGGTCTCAGCTGGGTGGGAGATGAAACCCAAAATGTTCTCAGCATTCCCTTTCTGGGTTAGCCTAAGATCTGTTTGTTTATACCATGCAGTGCATATCCCTGGCCCACGTGTGCAAGACTGTTCCTTGGCAGCATGTTTTCTGAGAAATATTTCAGTCAAGATGTAAATGTCCCAGGGGGTTTTCCATCCCTTTTCATAGGAATGACTGCACAGAGACTCTGCTTTTCAGAACATGATTTTTTTTCTCTCTTCACCATTTTTCAATGCACTCCATTATCCTAGTTTGACACCTTTAAATAACTCCAGGAAGGCTTCTGACTGTCACTATTCCCATTATCTGTGGGCTTTTTCCCTCCACCACCAATCTGTAGACATCTGACATTTCCGTCTTAGCTGTAGGACACAAGACTGCATATTGGGACATCAAAGTGTTCATGAGCCTGTCTCAGAGTTCACATTTTCCTGTGGATCCATCACTTTCCTTCCTTATGCCTTGGTTACTTTATCTGAAAGGTGCTGCACCTGAGTCAGGGGAACCCTTGGTATCCATACAGGCTTGGGGGTGAGGGATTGAGAGCAGCCTGAGGACAAGGACTTTGGGATGGACGAAAAGCTGGACATGACCTGGTCATGTGCTCTCACAGCCCAGGAAAGCTAGTAGTGCCCTGGGCTGAATCCAAAGCCATGGCCAGCAGGGTGAGGAAGGGGATTCTGCCCCTCCACTCCTGTGAGACCCCGCCTGGAGTGCTGCATCCAGCTCTGGGACCCACCCAGCTGTGGGGGTCTCCAACACAAGAAGGATATGGACCTGTTTGAGCAAGTCTAGAGGAAGCCAAAGATAATGAGAGGCCTGAGGAACCTCTGCTATGGGGACAGACTGAGATAGTTGGGGTTATTCAGCTTGGGGGACAGAAGGCTCTGGGGAGACTTTATTGTGGCTTTTCACTACTTAAAAGGGGCTTATAAGAATGATAGAGACAGACATTTTAATAGTGCCTATAGTGATAAGAAGAGGCAGAATTGTTTTAAACTAAAAGAGGGTAGATTTAGACTAGATATAAGGAAGAATTTTTTACAAGGAGGAAGAATAGGATATAATGAAGGTGTGAAGTGGCCAAGCTGGCATCCTCTGGATTGCTTGGTAAACTGGGAGCAAGAAAAATTACTTCTTATTTGATATTTTGAGATCCAAGCTCAACGCTTATATATAAAGAATGTGAACTAATTACCAGAGAAGGGATTGCAGTCTAACTAGAGTAGCCCTATGGTAAAAGTGTGCTGGAAAGCACCAGAGGCTATAATAATAATTTTTAGAGTTTGGGCTTAAATACCCGTACTCTCAGACCTTGTATTTTCTCAATGTATTTCTTGTCAGCTTGCTGAAATTTTAGCAGCTTAAATCTAGCTTTTGATTTTCAATCTGCTGTTTCCTTTATCCTCCCCTAGACTTTGTTTATCAGATCAGCCAAGGAGAACTAAATTTACTTTTTTTTTTTTTAGTACATCTTTACTACTATATTAACCAACTTGCAGGTCATGTGTTTTCATCACCACCCTGACCAGCCCACACTCCATTGCAGTGCTGTCTGGCAGTTGGGGAAAAAAGTAGAAAACACGTATCTGGACTCCAGCCCTTCAGCAAGGATGGGTTTCAATAATTGCCCATCCCTTCTGTCTTATTGGGTACTGTAGTATGATATTACCTCCCTCGCAGCTAGGAGCTGTGAAAATCTGTCTCTCAATGCCAGATGCAAAGTAAAAACTTCTGACAGCAGCTCTAGCCCTTCCTCAGCCATGCCTTTATTGTTTGATAGTGCAATTTCTATTAGCTTCCAATAAGTCCTACATAAGATTCTGTTACATCTCAACAGCAAGTGGTGTGTGCATATGCTCTGTTTAAGTAGCCAAGATACCCAAATACTTTTGCAAGTTTTATTCTAAATGATACAGACAAGTTCCTGACTGTCTTTAGCCCATTTGAACTCCAGAGTTCTTTCAGTAGCAGACTTAAGCATATAAGACTAAACGTTTGAGGAGGTTTGGAGACATCCACAATGCTGCTGTAAAGGGAGTTTTACTGGAAACTGTTCCACCACCCTGAGCTTTTTGGGAAGCAAGAGCTAGATATTGTTCTCATGTCGCATTTAAAAATTAGGTGTTTTCTAGACATGCAAGGCATTACTGTTGTTCCTATCATAAATTACCATTCTACAAAGAACTCTCTGATCCTTTTCATCATAAGGGGCTGAAGACCTCACAGCTATTTGCTGTGGTGGAGCTGCAAGGAGCTTTCCTCCTGGAGCTGAAGTGGGTGTTCCAGCCCTATATCAGGAGGACATCAAAAGTTGTTGAATAGCCCGTGTGTCCTGTAAATGGGGTATTCATTAGCAAAAGGCTAAAAGCAACTTAAGTATGTCTGAATTTCAGTCAGGTGTGATGTTAATGCAGGCTGAGTAGTTTTGAATATTTTATATGCAGCCAGTGACACAGAGAAAAAATGCACACTGCAGAGTACCCTGGTACCCCTTTCTGTGGTTCCAACCCAGCCCTGCTCAGCATTTCTTCTGTTCACTTCTCCATGTCCCCAAAAGGAACTGTGTCCTTACCCTGTAAAATCTATAAAATGGCTCAGTGAAGCCGAAGGCTTGAGGTCAAAACATTTGGGAATTTAGAAGTGCCAGGCAGAAGTCAGAGAGAAGACCTCATAGGGTGAAATACTGTGAATTGCTTCTCCTTCAGCTGAGGAAGGGAGAGTATAGTCAGGGCTTATGAAAGATGGAAAGTAGCAGCCAAGAAATGAGTCTGGAGCAGAAACAGATTCATTTCATTTCATCTGCAGGGCTACACTGCATCAGTATTTGGGTTTTGGTTTTTTCCTTGAAATCAATCCTGTGTAGTAATGGTGGTAACAGGCGCTCTAACACCTGATGCATGGGCATCTCTTCTCCACCAAGTCTCTCTCTGTTTTGCCAGACAAATACAATGTAGATAAAAACATGTTTCCGAAATTCATGCCAAGGCTATGCCAGGTTTTAGACAAAAGTCTAGTGCTGATTAAAAATATTGTGCCTATGTCCTCAGGCCTGCTGGGGCTCAGGGAGGTTTGGGAAGGCCATCATCCCTGAAAAGGCAAGGTCCTTTAGCCCTTTGCTTTTTGGTGGTAAGTACCAAAATACCCAGCTGTGACTGTGCTTCCATTAGCTCTGATAAGACTTGGGAACAAGCACCATCCTATCAGCTCCAGTTCATGTGGCTCACAAAAGATGCAATTGTACCTCTGAATGTCTGAGAGGGGAGTTTTAATGGGTAGTAGGAGAATAAGGACATAGAGGATGTGCAGATTTGGCAGAAGTAGAAATATCCTTTCTTAAATTTCAACAAAGAATAAGGATTTTAGTGAATCCCATCCCCAAAAACGTGGTTTAAGAAGTCATAAACAGGCTTTGCCAGCACTAAACTTCAGCATCAGTAGTTTATCAGCACATTCTTTCCACACTTAACCAGATTTTAATTAAATGTGACTTCCTTTCTGCTTATTGGAAGAGCCTTCCCCTTTGGATTTGAGCATCACAAAAGCTTAAGGAGTGCAAGAGAATTAGAAAGCAAATAGGAAGATCAATCACAGCAGACCCTTGCAATCCATGTCCATCTCTTTTTTGTAATATACTTATTAGATTCTTATTGTCAGGAAGGATTAGCGTTATGAGCTCTAGGAATTCCTTTCATTGCCCCGTAAGGCAAGGTAGTGAAGTGTGTCTGCTTTTCTTGACAATAACACTCTGGATTTTCCCCCTCTCCCTTCTCTCTCTCCACCCATATGCCCTCGTCTCTGTTGTCTCCTCTCCCACAGAGATTTGTGCAGCGGACTGCGGAGGACATGGCGTTTGTGTGGGAGGCACCTGCCGCTGCGAGGAGGGCTGGATGGGCACAGCCTGTGATCAGCGAGCGTGTCACCCACGCTGCAACGAGCACGGGACCTGCCGGGACGGCAAGTGTGAATGCAGCCCGGGCTGGAACGGAGAGCACTGCACCATTGGTAGGGATAAAGAAAACCCAACTCCTTTTGAGAGAATTATTGATGATCAGGGAGGAGAAAAGGCGCATGCTTAATTGAATATGTGTGATCTAGTGTAGCATGAGCACCTTTGTTCTTGGATTTCAAATTCTGACATCATACATTTTCATGTGGGAACAAGACAATATGTCCTTTCATTTGTTGGTGACATGGCTATATATATTTTTTATTATCAGACGTGAAGTACACCTATGTGGTGTTTGACAACCCTTTAAATGTCAGCTAGAAGCTTTTTTTGAAACATCCCATTTTACCTCTCTTGAGAGGTCTTTCTGTGGCCTCCAAGACTCCTCTGTACTATGGTGACAGCATTTTTAGAAACATGCATCTAATTTTAAATTTTCTTTCCTTTTATTTGCTACATTATTTGCATTGTCACTTTGCTTGCCAGTATAAAAGAGGAAACTGCAGATAGATGATTTCTGGCTGGTATTTAACTCTGTCTTGCTTATCCCTTGTCTGTTCTGCTACCTTTCTAACCATTTCACTTCCCTCTCACTTTGCTTCTGTATTCCTCATGTACTGGCAATACTCATAAGCTCTCTCTGGCATGTCTCTTATTATGGATGTTATAATTAATAAGAAGCCAACAATATGCCTAAATCATGCAAAGAGCTTCAGTTCTCATATTAAGCAATTTGCAGCATCATTAATGAACTGCCTTGGCTTCACCTTTTCCTTCTCTCACTTAACTACTTAATGCATTTTCCCTTCTTCCTTCTTTCTGATTGTCAAGCATTTAGCCTCTTCAGTTCCCCTCCCGTAGTCATGCTATTAAATCAGTAGCCCTAAATTCTCCAGATACCTTTTGTTGTATATTAATAGAAAACTAAATTAGTGAATCCAGTTCTATTCCCAATGATGCCAGTGTGGACCTGAAAAATTCAGTTGACTTTAAAAGAATCGTTCCAGAATGAAAATTCTCCTTCAGTCATTTTATTTTAATCAGCCTCTTTTAAAGACAAGGAAAATTTACCTCCATGTTACTTACATTATGTTATGATAACTAAAAATCACACTTCATCAAGACTAACCACTAGCAATACCTGGGCAAATATCAGCATAGCTATTGTGTGGATTAGCAGCTTAGTTACAGGAGACATCAATTCCCTTGCTTGAACACCAGGTGCATTTGCACATGCAAAGACAGGAAATGAAGCCTGATCTCAGTATTTTAATTTCAGCATTAGGATAATGGTACAAACCATATCTGTGGCTCAATTCTACTTATCATTTATTTATGCTAATGTCAGCCTATCACATTAAGGTCTCCACATGCATCCCCCTAATGAAAAATATCTTGCTTTTAAAACTTCCTCTGTCTCATTAGACATTGCATTCTGTTGTCTTGTTGATGTCCCTAGCAGCTTTCATATATTTTCCTGAGTAAAGGACTGAAAAACCCACGTTTCTTAAATGACTTTAAAATTAAAAGAGAGCAGTCATGTGTTAATTGAAATCCTGTTTCCATAATATTATTTTACAACCTTTTATTCAAGCAGTTTGATTTGGAAAGCAGCACAGATTCATGAGAGTAAAAAAAAAAAAAAATCAGCAAAAGGCCCCAAATCCAGGGGACAGTTTTATATGGAACTTATTTATGAAGGAAAAAAAAAAAAGCCTGATTCATCCCCCTTAGTGCCATTTTATTAGTTCTGCTGTAAAACCAAAATGCCATTAGTTCAGTATATGATAATTCTCCACACAGATGATATGCCTGGACTGTTTTCGAACAACAAGCTTTTATCTTTCATGGTAATTAAATTTATTTGTAGTATTCCTCACTCTAAGTATAAATGTTATCATGGGGAAGGCCAGCACTGCAATGCAGTCAGCATTGAGATTTTACTGGTGCACACTCTCATTTTATGTGCTGCTACCTTCCTGTTGCAGTCTGCCTTGGTTTAGGAATCATTCTTGGATACATAACATCCTGGAGCAAGTCTGTTTCTTTTCACTTTCCCCTCTCCTCATCTCCTTGCATGGTGATTTAAAAACAAATTTGTACATAGTCTCCTGCCTCTGAAGCTGTAAACACTATTTCCTACAGAATATTTCCCTGATAAATGTGTAGAATGCAAAGGAGATTTGGCAAAGTTGTGAATACCCAGGAAAATTGAATGGTTTTAGCAGGAGTAATAAGCTAGTTATGTTGGCACAAATGAAAGGACATTGGCTTGGAATTACATTAAGTACGTGGAAAGCATTCCCCTTGTCCTTGTGTAATTTCCCTGCATGGCAAATTGTTCTGTTGATGGTAATTCCGTAAATGTCTGTGTCATGGCCCGGTTTGCTTTAGCACTGACAAGCATAAACCCCCATTGCTGAAGTGATGCTTGACCAGTATTGCCGTGTGTGCAGGTAACACGGTAGAAATGGACCGTACCAGTAGGGGACACTTCTTCCATTTCCTGTCGAGCATGTGTGAGAGTAAGACATCCTTTTGTTTTGTAGGTCATAGGAGGCTCTTCCTTATGGTGTTTAAGGTATTCTGATCCCAGTGGATTAATTTTGTTTGCTCCTACAAAGAGTTGTGTCACTAAATGTACTATCTTGATTGCTCACATTCAGAGATTTCATTAGAGTAACCCCAGTTAATTCCCAACTAGGAAATTGATGCCGAAGCTTGCATTCATCATCCCAATTCAGCAGACTTAGTGCAGGGGAGTAGAGCAGAAAATTGATTATCTAACTGCAGGAATCCTGAAACCCAGCAGAAGGGTTCAGTCATTTTCTGGAAGGAACAAAACACGCTGTGACAACAGCATCAGTGCCAGACTCCCGTGATGGGTTCTCCAGCATGTTCCTAATTCATCTCTAGTTAGAGACTTTGCAGGAATTCAAGTTTCTTGTGTTCTGGCCCAAACTACATCCAGGAAGCACGGTGGGTTTTAGGAGCATTGAGTTTAAAGATGAAATAAACCCTCTTACTGTGAGCTCTGAAAGACCAAATTACAGCTCAGCTCTCTAGTAGGCTGCTCTAAGGGTTTGCTTCACAGAAAGCAGCACAGAAAATTTCCTGGGTTTAAGAGTCATAGAATCACAAAATTGTTTGGACCTTTAAGATCATCTAGTTCCAATCCCGCTGACATGGATAGGGAACCTTTTGCTTGACCAGATTGCTCCAAGCCCCATTCAATGTTATCTTGAAAACTTCCAGAGATGAGGCATCCACAGTTTCTCTGGGCAACGTGTGCCAGTGCCTCACCACCCTTAAAAGTAAAAAAATTTCTTCCAAATACCCAATCTAAACCTGTCCTCCTTCAGCTAAAGGCTGTTCTCTCCTGTCCTATGATTATAAGCCCTTGTGAAAACTCCCTCTCCAGCTTGTATGATTTATACAGGGGGCTTCCCTGCATGGTGGAGTTGGGATATTCACTATCCTTGAACAGCCTGGACACAAGACCAAAGCCATCTCTGGAAGTTCAGTTGCTGCAGCTAAATACTCCAAAGTCTCTGGAGACCTGAGGGACCAGCAGCTAGCTCTCCAAACACTCCACAGCCTACCTAGCAGGATTTCAGAGCACCTCAGTGCCTAATCCCCACTGATCTCTGCAAAAGCCACATGTTTAACTCCTTTCGGAAATCTGGTCCTGGCACGCACAGGTGATGGATGCAATAACAATGCCCAGACAGACAGGCAGACAGCCTGTCCCACACCAGCTTCTGCTTATGGCGCCATCAGCCTGGGGTTTGTTTTACATAGCAAAACTCTGATTTTTGAGAAATCTGCCCCTTTAAGTTTGCCTTTCATCAGTCTTCTTGCATAAATAATCACACATGTTCTGAATAGTTTAGGTTGTAATCAGTGCCTCGCCGTTTCTGCTGGAGCAGCTGGAATCCAGACAGGGCACATTACAGGTGGATCCTGGTCTCTTTTCCCCCAGCTTTCTAACACATCACTTGTGCCCTTTGAATCCATAAAGCAGCACAGTCCATGCATGGCCCAAGACAAAAATAAGCCTCCCAGAGTCTGGGTAAGGTTCTTGCCATCTCGTAGATGTGGTGCTTAGGGACAGAGTTTAGTGGTTGCACTTGATGATCTTAGAGGTCTTTTCCAGCTCTATGATTCTATGATTCTACCCACTGCCCAACAGTAAGTGCTCAAGTGCATCCACAGCAGAAGCAGAGCTGTGTTTTACCCTCTGGCACTCACTTCCCTGCCTGGTTGAGATGGGTACCTTTGGGCAAGAGAAGACCATGGTTATAGCAGTCAGTGGAAAATACGCACTTGCTGCTTTGTTCTGACATGATCTTGAACCAATCTGAAGGTAATCTGGCCTTAAATAGTTTGGCAGCATATTTGCCAGTAAATATTAAGCACAGACTAACTTCAAAGACAGTGTTTTCCCTGACCTTGCAGCATAAACTTCACATGCTGTCCCTGATTCAGCAATGGATGTTTACTTTCTCCTCTCCTTCACATTTGTGTGATCTCAGTTTAACTCCAATGATTTCCCTGAGGCTCTGTCCACTTCACCTCATAGGGGAGATAAAGGGAAAAAGAATATTTGAGAAATGAAGAAGGAGAGCATAGTGGGAAACAAGTCCTTCTCAAGGACCTGCCTGCAGCATCTCTCACTTCTCTTCTGTTCTTTCCCTCCCTCTCTGCAAGCCAAGAGAAGTACTTGTTATCATTCCCATTGTGTTTCAGACAAAGCAAACCAAGTCAAGTCAGCTCAGGCTGTAAAACAAGGGGGCTTTCACACTGAAAAATGGCCACAGGAGCTCCTCCCTAGCAGTTCTAAAGTGGCTTCCAGGAAGTAGGGTGGTGACATGGGGCTGAGTGTGGTGGTGCCTTTCAGTGCAGAGGACTCCTTAGAAAAGTAGCTTTTCTTCTAAACTCCTGCATAATTTCTCAGCATGTCCCGCATGCCCACAGGGTTTCCAAAGGAGTGTCTGTAGGGAATAAGATGATATTTTAGTGGCAGAAGTATAGCCTGTATGGGTTTAGAAAAGAAAGATTCCTGCTGCTCCTGTAGGAAACCCCATTGTTTTTCAAATTACAAGAAAACATTGATACATAACTGACACATGGTTGGCATTGACAACTAACTTCACTGCCATCAGCTGCACAGTGAGCTAAGAGGTTGGGCTGCTGGGGATGTCAAAATTCAGGACATACATACCTGGGCTTCAGCCACCATCCAAGCAGATGGTGATGCTGTGCTTCCTGCATCGCTCCCCCCACATCAACGTGATTAATTCACCTTTTTGCCAAGCCTCATAACTGCCCCGCACTAGGTGAGCTCTCCCAGCCCTCTCCACTTGGTTCCTGTACAGATCCATTACATTCACAGGATGGAAAAATAATTCCTGAAAGGGCCATGACCTCCCCGGAAGATAATCTGCCTGAACGAGCCTGAAACAAAAACTTCTTCAAAAAGTACCAGGACACAGCTGAGGCTGAGATTGCAGGGAGCAGGCAAGAGAACAAGGGAAATAATGTTTAAGTAGATATTGAAATAGAGAAATGCAAGACTCAGAGCATCTTTTGTTATTAAAGACCAGCGGGTGTTAGGACAGAGAGTGCCGCCTGCTGGCATGAACCAGGGCTCTCTGAGGCAGGATGTCTTTGCCACCAGCCTTCTGCTCGACACCAGAAAATCAGTAAAAAGGTGATTTTCCACATCAGTGTTCCATGGGAATTGGGTAAATGACTGCTCCCATGACGTCTATAACTTTCTTTTTTACTTTTTCTTTAGCCCTCCTTAAAATTAGTATATTAATACTTGCCTATCTCGTATATTTTCCAGGAGGTTAATTTAATATTTGTAAAGTAATTTGATCTAGGGCTAGAAAATGCTGCATAAATGCAGTATATTACCATTAAAAAGATCCAGGGAAAAGCCTGTACCAGTCCGGTAAGGTCACGGAACTGTGCTTTTTTGCGTGGAAAAATATAAGACAATCAGGTAAGGTGGAGGACTTTCAAATGTCTCTGCTTTCCTGATGAAATGCAATGCAGTCAGTAAAGTGGAGAGAGACTTGCAAATCATCAGAGCATTGCAATATCCTGATATACATATATACACATATACCTATATATATATATATATATATAAACACATAAATATATATATAGAACTTTCCTGTTTTTCTTCCTGATCTTAATGAGCAAAGATGACTGAATGCCTTAACACAGCTTTCTCAAGCCATTTGACTGAGGAGCACTGTGCTCCACTCTTCCTTTTTTCTCTCCTCATAATCAAGGTTTTTCTTTTCATATCACAGCGAACTCTCCTTTGCCTTTCTAGCACCTGCACAGTCTCGTAGTAAGCCGCAATGCACTTATTCAATCCTACCTTAAATGTCCTGTCTTTTATCTCCCAAGCTCACTATCTGGATAAGGTAGTGAAAGGTATGCTCTTCCTTCCTTTTTTCCTATTGTCTTTGTGTTTCTTTTTAAAAAATGCACTGTGAACATGCTGTGTTGAGGTTGCATCTCTTCCTCATTGTCTCCAAAGTGGTCCCTAATGTCTGGAAGGGTGAACTTTCCAGTCATTTATGTAGGAAATACCTCTGTAAGTGCTGTGACCCTGTGTTAACATCGTATCAGTGTTCCTACCCATTCCCTTGTCCCTGCCCTCCCCTCCAAATCATCTCTCATCCTCACCCTTCTCACTCAGGTGAGGCAAGTCAGGAGAAAACAAGTGTCTGTGAATACAGCAGGAACCCTGTACAGTGATGTGTTTTAATTAAATGTCTGTGGTCCATTTTGTAACACAGGTGAGTGCACTTTCTATGTGGAGTCTTCATGTTTTTGATCCACAACTGCCAACCCTTACATGGGAGCTTTAAGTAATTATATATTGAGGGCTTTTTTCATAATACAGAAATGTTATGATCCCAAAATCTCTGGTTGCATAAATCTGCAAAATCTGTTTAAATTAGTGAATGCTGCATTAATGTACACTGCAACAAAATCCAACCTTATGCTCCGGTTTGTAAGTGTAACACAAGTCTAGGACACAGGTCTTTCTTCAAAAAAGAAGAAAAGGAATTGAACTGTTCAAGAACAGTGATCACCTGCTGTTTTTTAAAAAAATCAGTTATTTGTTAATCAGAACAATGAGCTAAATTGCTTTAGGACTTTTTAATAGAAACAGACAGTTCAACAATGCACTTAGCTTTTGAAAAATATTGAAATAGCGTGCATATGGTTAAATACAACAGTCTGACAATAAATATGATTGAGTTGGACTTAAATATTTTTCTACATGGCTGATTTGACACTAACAGCAACACAAGGTTTAGACAATGCTAACTTCATATGTTTGCTGGTTAAGCAAACCAAAAAATCAGGTTGAACAAATCTTTTTTTTTTCTGTAGTACTGTCCTTCTTTTCAGGTTTTGAGCAATCAAAAATAACAGCTGTGAGAGGCTGAGGCTGATGAGCTGATATGCTCAAGTATTGACCCCAGGAGCAGTTAAAATTAAGTCCTTGCCATATAGGGCTTGTGTGGTGTGACAAGAAACATGGTTGCCCTACTGACTTCACTTCTCTAGGAGAATTTACAATGCAGTGTTTCTCTTTTTTTAAAGGCAGATTCAGGAACAACTGGAAATAGGCAAAATGTTTGAATAGACAAATACCAGTAATGAGGAAATGTCCATAGTTTAAATACTTCCATCTTCAGTGTAATGCAGCAACTCGTAGCTGTCCTTGGACCTCTCTTTACGGATCAGTTGTGTGTACAGTGGTAGTTAGTTTTCTCTCATTGCTTAGCACCAAAAAACTCCCGTGTTTGACTTTATTTAAATTGGGAGGAAAAAGTACATTCCCTTTCTTAGATCAGGGAAAGAGGGACACTTATTGTGCCCTTATGAAGTAAACATGGTGGCATCCTCAGAGGAAGATATGGGCCATCACTAGGGAGCTGATCAGAACCTGCTGTTAATGTTCCACATCTCAGTGTTTTGCATTTCAAAACCCCAGGACTCCTCCTTTTCATCTCAATGTGTGTTGGAGAAGGCTGCATCAAAAAGTAGCAGATAAGCATTGAGGGCATAGAAGAGATGAAAAATCAACCCACAGAGCCTGGCAAGGAGCCTTCAGTACTGATTTGCCCATTCAGTGGCCCAGTTTTTTTAACTAAGTCTTTTGTAGATGTCATTTTTCCTCTAGGTAGCTTTTTGACTCACCTTTATGCCCAATAATAAAGACACATTATATTTAATGAGTCTTTCAGTAGGTAACAGGTTAAGTAACATACTAAGAATAAAAGATCGTCCCTTGCTATGCATGGCTGCTTTTGGAAAGATTAGCAATAGCTGAAACATTAAAAGTACATGGTTTTCTACTTGGCTAACTGCATGGTGTGCATTTTTCAAAACTAAATTACTCATGCCCTTTTGGCTTTCTTAATTATTAACATATTTCTGGTTGAAATCCCTTCCCAGTAATCCTGTTGTCAAAGGGTGAACCTGATTTACTGCTGAATCTTTCCTACAGCTTTACGATAAACCAGTCAGTCAGAGAAGATGTAGAATTGTTCCTAAATGGGAGGGCAACTTTTAATAGCAAATATCAGCATAATTAAACGAAAAAGCTCTAACTAGACTCAGAGTAGAGTCTTCTAAACTAGGGCCTAATTAACATTGGTAGTGCTTAAAATGAGAAGAGGTGCCTATTATTTTAATAATAATTAAAAGAGATGCTGATTTTAGAGAGAGTGTCTCCATCCAGAATATTACTGAATCTGATGGTACATCAGTTTAATTAATTTCTATTACTGAATATCAGTTCTTACTCTTCAAAAATAATCATTAACCACATTAACACTGTAGTGATGCATATATAAACAGCTAGTTTGAATTTTAAAGTTGCTGAGCAACATTAGAATTCAGGGGTGGCTGCAAGGGCTGCTCCTGAAGTGTGAGAGCAAGTAAGAACCCAAGGTCTGACTAAAGCCAGTTCCCTCATTTGCACAGTTACCAGTGTAGGAGCTCTGGTCAGTAACTTCTTAACCTTCCTATTAGAGGACACATCTGATTAAGGATTTCTGTATTCCAGTCACCACAGAATATCACAGTGGTAGTTTCAGAGTTGAGTTGGTTTTGGGACAAGCTTTCATAGTTTGCAGGGATGAGCTGATGCTTTGCTCCTCCCCTTTAGTCTTAGGGAAACTTCTGCAGGTCTCATAGCGTTTGTTGTTCTCTCAAGCTTCAGGCATTTGCATCTTCACGTGTTGCATTCAGCCATGTCCTACTTGTCCCAGAGCTCAGCTGCTCTCTGGGACTTCATAAGAACCTCCATTAGGGCTCTCATACTGACAGTGAAGGAAAGATAATAAATAGCCTTTTCTTCTAAGTCTTATTTCAAGTGGCAGTGAGGTTTGTCTTGAAGAAAAATACCAGTAAATGTTGCTTATAGTTGGACTAATCAGAGAAGGCTTTAACTGTACAGACCATTAAGAGCAGATTATTTTACCAACAGTCTTAAAAATTGCAGGATGACTTCTGGTGACAGTCTCCTTTGACTCTAATGGTCTGTACTTCTCTGTTTCAAAATTAACCCACTTTTTATATTGCTTCCCTGGTCTGTTCTCTCACTTGCATGGCAGACTGAACATCTTTGTGAATGCCCTTCAGAATCTTTCATCAGCACTTACATACATGTGTTTAAGTTTGAAACTCACGTAAAGGGTTTCCTCCCCCTTTTCCGAAAAAGCCCTATTCATGTATTTAATTCTCTTAGTCACCCAAGTACAGTTAACACCACAAACAGGAATAATGGATCTTTGGTGACTTCTAGCCAAGAGAAATCAGAGCTGCAAGATTATGGTGCTGTAAATCTCTGAGGATTAAGCCATCCTGCTGTGGTGACATTCAGAAGCAATTCGGAAACAAGATGATCTCTTTGCTTTATTCCCCAGCATGGGGGAAAGGAGAGGATAAAGTTTATTTTGTATCATCTTTTCATCAAGTGCTTTGAAGTGCACTGTTTGTGGAATGAGGAAGATTGTACCATCCTATCTGTGTAGTGTAAGTGATGGTAAAGTCTCTGTGCACTGAACCACTTCAGAAATAGTACTTATAGGTCCGTTCTCCTGGATATATTGGCTTGTGCATCTCTGCTGTCTTCTAACTTTCTGAAAACCCAAGTCCTCTAACAACTGCTGTATTTTTTTTTCCCTATTAATGGTTTGCGTTCTCTATTCATCTTTAAAATGTCTGCTCTCCTCCCAAACCATGATACTAGGGTTTCAGTTTAATCCTCACAGCACTGAAATTTTAATGAACTATGTAATCTGGAAAATCTCTATGTTCCTATACCTGTGAAGAGCCATTTCTGTCATCAGGAAACAGTTCTTTCTGGTTCCTTGGAAGAGCTTTATCTACTAAGAACCAGAGATTACATTCTCCTTAGTGGGAAGGGACAAACTTACTTTCTAGACTTAAAGAGTGCCAAGACAGTGGAGTATAAAATTGCAGGAGGAGTTACCCTACTTTAGGTATCTACAGATGCTTATCTCTCATCAAGGCACCCTGGATTCCTGTAGTATTCAAGAAGAAGAATAGATATTCTTATGAGATACTTGCTCTCGTCTCTCCTCTCCTCTCCTGACCGATGCTTTTCCTCTGCTTGTCCTCTTTCTGAAATGCTTGGCTTACTTTCTCTGGGTGCAGATCAAAAAGATTTCAGAGTAAATCCTGAAAGTCCATTCAAATACTCTCAAGCATGTTTCATATAGACAATGACTTGCACACAAAATTTACATAGGATTGAAAGGGGTCTCCTCAGTTAGAGTCTAGTCTTTTGCTGGCAAGGACACATTGTGTAAAACTTTATATGAATTTACCAAGCTCTATGGAAAAGTAACTGAGAATCTTCTCCTTAACACTCCCACAGGGAGTCTGCTCCAGAACTTCATTCCTTTGATCCTTGCAAATGATTTTTTTTCCTAATTTCCAGCCAGAATTTATTCATACTTGGTTTATGTCCATTTGTTCTTGTGCCAGCAATACTCTCTTTACCTTAAATAGCTTTTAAGAAGTTTTCCCTTCTCAATGTTTATGTTTCATTAACTTTTGGGAAAAAAATCATAGTCTTTTCAGCCACTATTGTCCAAGGAGAGACAAATAAAGCTCTTCCCATTTCCTCAGATGCCAAAGGTGCTTTGCTTCCTCCAATCTATAGCATCTGTTTTCTGCCACTCCAAATTCCCTTTTTCCTAAGCATGGGAGAGTAGAGCACATGCAGTTCTGTATGAGGTCTTTGTTTTATAGGTAGATTAGTTTTCCCTTACATTTCCCAGGCACTTCTCAATGAGCCAAGATCATAGTGTCTTCAACTTTATCCAACTCTTTCTGGTTCTCACTTCACTCCTGTCCAGGTCAACACTACAGCCCCTTTGTTCTGCCCGGTCTCTGCAACTGTAAGAGAGAAGAGAACTTTTTGGTGAAGGTTTTAGAGAGTCTGAGGAGTAAAAACAAGAGGTGTGCTCAGTGGTGATGCACCAGCCAAGCTCCAATGGAGCCACCCAGTATACACATAAAGCGAGACTTCTTCAGAGGCTTTTCATCTAGACAAATCAAAGCAATGGTACAGGTTGCCCAGGGAAGCTGTGGATATCCCAGCACTTGAAGAGCCGGATTGGATGGGACTTCAAGCTTCCTGGTCTAGTGGAAGGTGTTCCTGGCCATGGCAGGGAGATTGGAATTCCATGGCCATTTAGGCCCGTTCCAACCCAAACTGTTCCACAATTCTGTGATTTTTAGAGAGGGGAAAAACTCCTATCTCTGCTGTCAGGATGGTCTCATCCAAATTAGATATATCTACTCCAAAATGGGATTACCCACCTAGCCAAGTAATTTTAGGAGGTTATTTAATACTGTTCCTCCTCTTTCATTCTCAAAATAGCCAAATGCTTTCAGCTTGTACTGAAAGTAAGTAAAGGGATCAAACATATAAATTAGCTGTAGCATGGAAAAAATCTGATTTAATGGTTAAATGTTTGGCCCTGTTGTAAGTAACTAAAGGGAGGATGTTAAAATTAAGAATTTCAAGTAGCCTTGCTTATAAATAGCTCTTCTGTAGTATATAAATACTAATATAGTGTGTAAATACCAAAATACACAACAGCATGTTGACACATACAAACACATTTGCTGCATCCCAGAATAAGCATTTAAAAGACTGAAATGCAACAAATTTGTTTGTAAAGGAGAAATATATTTAAGATCCTTCTAAAGGACTTTTCCTTACCACCTTTGTTCCTTTTTTCCATTTGGCTCGTGTAAATCAGTCACTTGTTAAAAAATGTTTGTTTTTTTCTGTTCCCTGAGAAAGGTTCTCTGAACTTAAAAATCTCGCTGTGAAACAGTTTTTTTTTGTTTGAAAGGCATTTCTAAGCCGCATTTCCCCAGTGCAGGATGCACTATGGCATGGGATACTGCAGATTGGGTCCCAGCTCTGCCTTGGGGAGACCCTCACACATCATATGGTCAAACAGGTGTGGAGACAATGCACACCTCTTCACTGTCCTTTAGCACAGAGTAGGTCTGTGTCGTTCACACACGTTCACAAACCTGTCTTGCAAAGCTGAGGACCTTAAAAAACTCAGACTATGTGGCAGGATAGCACTACACACATATAAATAGAGAAAGCATTAAAACAGGGCTTAGGAAGACTGAATTGTTTCCCTGGTGTAATCAGTCCTGCTGAGTGACCTTCACAGTCACTTCAGTCCCTTGTACTTCAGTTTCCTAAGCTGTTAAGTGTCTCTTACATTTCTGACAGCTTGGTGGTAAAGATTTTTGAGCTCGGCAGGTAAAAAGCCCCCAGAGGGGTTTAAGCTAAGCAGCCTCCCTCACACCACTGCTTACTGTGGAAATTGCTGTTTCCTTGAAGGGGTGGGGGGGAAGTACAAAAATCTCAGCAGGAGGTCATGAGATGAGAAAACCAAACCCTAGTGAGCAGACGGGAAGGTTGGTGTTCATCCTCCCTAACTAAATTTTATCACCTATAAAATGCCTGCCTCTGTACAGTGACTCTCTCTAATCACTGGGGCGAAATGGATGTTTCCAGACCATGCTTTAGCTCATCACCATGAGCATCAAACCCCCATGAGGAGACTTCTGCCCTGGGACAGTCTGTTTCTCTGCTGACTACAGAGAGTTGAAGGTATCTCAGTTTTAAATTAATTTGAACCAGATGAGATGAATCTCTCCCAAAATTACTACAGGAAAGAAACTGGATGTCTTCAAAATATTTTCTACCTTTCCCTTTCCAGCTGGTTTTGTACGCTTACCAGTCTGAGATCTCAGTATTATTGAAAGCCATTGGCTTTATTCTGCTGGGTGTTGTGAACTTTAATCCCAAATGCAACTTAGGTAACCCTAAGTACTAGTCTCCATATACCAAATGTTTTGAGAGGCTTGGAGGGCAATGTGCTGCCTTGAGTTTGCAACCAATGAAACAGGAATATCTCAGTGCCCCCCTGAAACTCACCATTTCCTCAGTGCAGTGAGTGTGGTTGTGCTGTGAGGACCTCCTGGGAGAGCCAGAAGCAGCTGCCCATTGAGTAGTCACCACCATCCTGACACCAAAGCGGGTTCATTCCAGGTGGGAAGACACCAAGTGGGAGCAGAGAAATCAACTGAAGGCAAAGGGAAAGAGCTGTTTAATGAGGCCCTTTCCAGGCTGTGTTGCTTTGTGTTTTGAGTGTGTTTGAATGTGTGGCTGTTTGCCTTGCAGAGGGATGCCCTGGCTTGTGCAATGGCAATGGCAGATGCACTCTGGACATGAACGGCTGGCACTGCGTCTGCCAGCTGGGCTGGAGAGGAGCAGGCTGTGACACTTCCATGGAGACGGCATGCGGTGATGGGAAAGACAACGATGGAGGTAGGACACGAGCACATGTGATATGTCAGGCTTCACAGAGCCTATAAACCTCTCACAGTGAACAGTCATCTGGGCTTGATTCTGCAGGGCAGATTGTTTTTTGACAGCTGGTAGAGAGCAGACAGCAAAATCTGCCAGGCTGACTCAGCCAGAGTGGATTGGAATTCAAATTAAATGGGTTTGGATCTGGGGTGCCAGGGCTGAAGAGGGACATTTGTTTGTCTTCAAATCAAGTCCATAGGGCAGAGAGCAGGTGGAGGCTGTGCACCTGTCCAGTCCCTCCACTCCAGCCAAGTAGCTCAGCAGTGACATGATGGGACCACCTCAGACAGTGAACATCCCTGACTGTTCAAACTTTGCCCTCGCTGCCTGAGGCTTTCATCAAAGCTCTGCAGTTGGTCACTACTGACTTTGGATGGATATTTCTCATAAACTTAGAGACTTGGGTGACTGATCCCCGTGCCCACAAGCCATCCAATCCCTCTCAAACCATGTTTTATTGATTACTGTTCCATATGTAATGATGTCAGGCATGTGAATAATAGCTCTGTGTAATGCAAACTTAATATTCAGAGTTATCTCATTACAAAGGAAACTGTGGTGCAGTGTGAAGGTTTGAATTAGAGAGCAGGAGATGAGATATTAAATTTAAGGCATAAGGGAGACTGCATAATTTGTTTTGTTGTCACTCAGCAAAAGGCTTTGTAAACCACAAGTCTGGGCCAGAACCCAAACTGTGAAGTGGAGACTGTGTTTTGCAAGCCTCTGTTTTATCATATTCACAAGAACAGTACAGTTAAAAAAAAAATAGTAGCCAAGCCAAGTCTGTGATTATCTACTTCACAACAACTGTGATTCTGATTGAATATTTAAAATACTTCTGCACATCTGGCACGGCAAATGGACCAAATTAGCTCTTTAGAAAAGATGGAAAAATTGAAGTACTATACAAAGAGTACACACTATAAAGCAAAGATGGCTTTTTACCTCATATGGAACTGAATATCACTGTACTTGTCTTTTCTATTTTCAGCTGACACAGGGCAGCAATAAAGGTCATCACATCAGATGTGTAAAAGTATGGTAAATAGACCAAAGGTTAGTCCCAGTTTCCATGGAAAAAAATAACCAGCAAAAGCCGTGTGAAGTTTTTAGTAAGAGAGAGACAGAAGGAGTAATCCAGCCTAACATACCATGTAAATCACAACTGTATGATATCACAAAGAGCAGGAAAAGACCCTGAGCATCTCTTTGTATCTCCTGAAACAAGGGTTAACCTTTTTACCTGGGTTACCCTCACCTTGAAATGAGCTGCCTTGCAAGCCTGCAGGACAGCAGATGTACACAGGAGAGACAAAAGGCATTGACAGGTTTACAAGTTAGTGCACATCAACCACTAACTGGCATTTGGTGAATCTGTGTGGAGCAGTGGCGTGCATAGTAAGAACAGAGCAACTGATAGGTTCTAACTTACTTGTACCAGCGTGTTCATGTGTCAGAGCCCACAAATGGGTGTTGACTTTACTCTTGGTACACTCAAAAAAAAGAAAATGTACATGGTGTGAATTACAGATTACAGATTATCAGTCATATACTGTGCCTTTGATTTGGCTGTGTTACTGCTAAGGGCTCTCTTCAATGAGCACTGTGCCTTCTCCACCTTTTGGAATTCTGTCACATACACTGGAGTGATGCATGCTCAGGGCTGAAGAAAGGTGGTTTATTTTGGTTCACTGGAAGGGATCCAAACATGGAATTTGCTCATGAATGTTGGCAATGGAGGTAGAAGTCCTTCCATGAAGTTTTAGAAGTCAAACAACTGACCTAGTCAAAATGGATATCACGAGTGGTGAGAAAGAGGTTATTGGGGCTGCTCACAGTACCGGGGCGTTCATTCTGCTTAAGCTCATACCTGGTTCCTACACTGTGGTGTCAAGTGTCTGCTAATCAAAATCTCTGCAGCCGGAAATTCCTCAGGATAATGAGAGCTGAAGTCAGAAATGTTTTCATCAGCTCCCAGCCTAATCATACCCTGAGGGAGACGGGTGCTAAATTACAGGGTGTGTTCGGCTCTTAAATTTGGAGGCTGTTCAGATAAACAATAACAAACTGAGCAGGAGTCACTCAGGAAGAAACTTGGTGAAATGTAGTCTTTGTTAAGGCTAGTAAAAAGTTGTTTCTGAGTGCAGTTCCCTCTCCACAAAGTGTCATTTATCAAAGCTAGCACTTAGGTTTCACACCCAGGTCCACTTTGTTTACACTTTTAAAAACCAAGCCCATCAACTTGAAAGAAAATGTAGTGAGTAACTGAGAACAGATGATCATCCAGTATCAGTTCAGGAAAAACAGTGCAATGACAGAGCTGTAACAATCTGGGAAGGCCAAAATTTTGTACATTTGACCTAAGAGGCAACCTGTATTGCAACAAACAGGAGGTGTTTCTTTAAAACAAGATGAGAAAAGTGGTTCTTGCCTCACTTCAGCAGAAAATAACCTCTAATTCATGACTGCAAACACTCACTATCTAAGAGTAGGTGTGACAGGTAATGCCTATATGTCTCACCCCACACTGAGTGTTCTGTCACGTACTTGAAGAATAAGTTTGAAAGTTTGAAAAATCAAGGAAATTATCTTCTGTGGCAAATCCTAAAAGTGGAGTTAATGGCATTTGATAATACCTTGAGAAGAGGCTGGTATTCCATAGGCTTAATATGGGCTCTGTTGCATTGGTAGACTCCTCTGCTAGGAACATAGCGTACGGGAAAAACTGAAGGGAAGAGAGGATACTCTTAACTAATCTCATGAATATGCTGTTGAACAGCAAAGCTGTGTTGTTCTGGAGAAATCATCTAACTTTGAGAGCCAGAGTTGTCCAGTTCTCCATTTCAATGAGTTTGCATGAAGAGAAGATCACACTGAGGTGAAATCATGAGAGGACTACAACTGTTAAATGAAATTGCTCGTTTGGTCTAAAAGTTCAATGCAGTTCCTTTATTTGAGGGTCATTGTTGTAGTTTGGGGCTTCTCCAGAGTAGCCAAGTCTTCCAGGTAGGGTAAAGCTTGCTGGTTTTCCAGGAACTGGAGCCGACCCATCCTTCATTTTCTGCTTTAAACAATTCCAGTTCCTGTGCAGCTGGCTGCTGAACTCTGTCAAACTTGAATCTACCTTAGTTGTGGAAGGCAAGAGACAATATTTTTCTCACATGAAAAATATGTCTGAAATGACAGTGTTCACAATATTATCTAAATCTTCATGTTCATTAGCAGTTTCCGTTCGGTTGTCTGCTGTTCTTCACTGCCTCTTCCCAACTGAAATACTTCCAAAGGTGAGTGTTAGTGGTTAAGGGATTAGATAGGTAGATAGATGGCTAGGTAGATAAATACCCTTCCCAGTCAAATAAGGGTGGCTTGTCATAACATATATTGCACACCATTACATAAAAGTATAGAAAATTCATTTTTCTTAGCTGTCATCTGGTCAACAGTTTTCCTTTGAGACTGAGAAAAATAAACCATCCTGGTTTCTTTTTCTGCAAGAATTGTATTAGCGAAGCTCCTTCCCCTCAGTTTATGTCTCATTTAGCCTAGGACAAACAGAGAGTTCCAATGTACCCATGGCCCCATTTTGCCTTTGCAAGTTCAGTCTGTGTTCCACCAGATGCTTCCCAAAAGCTAGCAGGCAGAGCCATTTGTATGCTTTCCTTGACTTATCCTCCTGGACCAGAACAACTCAAAGTTGCCTTAATCTCCCAACCCTGGAGTGGTGAGCAGGTCACTTCAGGGACAGTGTAATTCGGGAATGGTTTCTCTGAGGCAAATCATTGCTGTTTGTTTAACTGTACCACAGCCCACTGGCAGCTCCACAGTGCCTTGCCCCATTCAAGGATCAGGTAGTGCTTGTGGTAAGGTGGAGACTTACATAATGCTTTGGAACAACAGCATTTCAAATCTTTGGCAAGAGAAACTTTGGCACAGCACTCTGGCCTTCTTAACACCCATGTGTTCACCATCTGTCCACCACATGCCAAATAGTGTTAGAGAGCCGGCAGAAGTCTGCACTGATCTTTGCAGTGCATAGGGGTTACACCTGAAGTTAGTCACAAGGTTTTAAAGGGAACAGTAAAGAATCCAGGAGAACCCCAGAACGCAAACCTTTGTCTTTGCAAATGGTTGAGCTGCAGACAAAGTAGAGGGGTGCTTTCAGATACTTCCTTTTTTCTTTTTGCCCTCATGCCCTGGGCTTTAATAGATGAGAAGATTCTGTCTCGTGGGCATGGTGTGTGAGTTGTCTGCTTCCTCAAAGTGATAGAAAAATTACACAATAATGTGCTGGCTACATTTGTGGAGGGAAATATTGAGATCTGAATGCACCTGGGAAAACAGCCATCATAAATTATCATTTATCATCACAGATAGATCCAGTCAAAAAACAGGGTCATCTTGGAGGAACCACAAAGCACTGCTAAAAGGATTAGAAAGTCTGCTGTACTTAAAAGATTGGGTAGCTGGTATAATTTGTTAGAAATCACCCAGCTTCTCTTCCTCTGTTTCATGGTGACTGTTAATTGACTCGTCCTCAGATAAAGTGACCAGTTCACATTTTCAGATTTCAGCTCTTTGCTGATTTTGTGTTGGGTGGTAACACATGGGTGTCTCCTGTGGCTGGTTGTTGGCAGCAAGGCTGGCAGGAGGGCAGTGTTAACCCAGGGCATTCCGGCATCCTGGAGCATGTGTTGATCATGCCATTGGAGAGGATTATGTGTTGTGAACTGGGGGATCTAGCAGTGTCTTGTCTTGACATCTTGGGAGAGCTCCTGGTACTTTGGAGGAGTCCTTAATGAAATGCCTTTGATTAATAGATTCAGAAAGAAGCTATGAAAATGCTCTCTGTGTTGAAGGCAACCTACCATTGTCTGCTGAAATGAGAGAGCTAAGTTATGGGAAGGAGGCACTGCTGGTACACAAAATGTAACAGAAGGTGACGTGAACCAGCTTCAGAA